TTGGTTTGGTTTTGTTTTGTTTTGTTTTTTGGTTTTTTAAAAATTTTTATCCAGGCTGTGGGACAGAGGTGGGCTGAGATCAAGAGGTGATTTAGACTTGCAGATATCTGGGTGATAAGAGGAGTCCTAGAAAGTGGTGAATTCGCTTTTTCCTTGGTTCACGATCTCCTTGTTCCTTTATTTAACAAAACAGAGTTAGTGCACATACTCCCACTTGCCCAGAGTTAGTCTGGAAAGCTGCATACTGGTGCCAACCTTATCTTGTCAGCATTTCAACGTTATTTTAGCTACATGCAAACTCCCAAAGAAGCTAGAGTTCTCCCCTCGTCCTCAAACGGAGTTATGTCAGACTTTTGAGAGTTGACTGTCCCATTTGGGGCTGATTAAGTCTTATATTTATATTTTTAAATTAGTAACTTTCAAGAAATCTATTTTAGTTCAATGACTGATTTCTGTGCACTTTTAGAAATCAGTCATTGAACTAAAATAGATCACATCACTGTTCTTGAGGGGAAAAGGCAGAAATTATTCCTGTCCTCTGGATTATCTTGCACTTGTAAAGAAGAAAAATTATCCCAAAGGACAAGGTAAAACCACCTCAGGGAGATAGTGGAAGAATCCACAAATCAAAGAGAACCTCAGGCCAACAGGAGAGCAAGTGAGGGGGCTCCTGAGAGGGTGATAAGACTCTGACAAAAAATAAATACATTCAATTTAATTGAAATAAATAAAGGCATATTTTCAACATGTAGGTGTGACTTGATTAGATAATCTCACCTGAGAAGAAATCCCAGAGAAGAAAGAGGAAAAGGAAAAAATGGCTGCTTCTCAGGTCAATGTGTCCCAGGTCAGAAGGAATGTCATGTGTTTAAAATTTGCAAACCATCCTGTTGTCCTTGTGGTGGTCCTGTCTAATGAGTTTGTTTCAACAATTTTTGTTCTTCCTGTGATATTCAATGGGTCTGCTGGACACAGCTCCCTAAATGGTTTCTTCTGTTCTCTTCATCCACACTGCTTAGTTGCCAAGAAATGTTCTCACCACGAATGTATGACCAACAGTATTAAAATTTTTCCCTTGTGACTGGGGATCATGGGAAGGCACGGTAACCAAGAATCCATTAGAGATTGGGTAGATCCTCAGATCCTAGCAAAGTATGAAAACTTTTTATTTTTAGTTGGAGTTTTCCTCTGTTGCCCAGGTTAAAGTGCAATGCCACACTCATGGCTTCCACAGCCCAGTTAACTTTTGGATTTATTGTAGAGACAAGGTCTTGCCAAGTTGCCCAGGTTTGTCTCACACCCATAGGTTCAGGATATCCTTTCACCTCTGCCTCCCAAAGTGCTGGAATTATAGGGATGAGTCTCTGTGCCTAGCAAGAACATGTACTGTTAAGGTTCTGTCTAGATGATCCATCATTTTCACGCAGAACACGGTTAATAAAATGTACATTTGTCCAAAATAACTCAGGAAGGTCTGAATAAAGAATAATTAGAAGAGACTTGCTCTCTAGGATGCTGAAAACAAATAATTTAAATACACTTTTAGAGATTACTTGCTATGGGAGATACTTGTAGGCTGATTTTTGCCTAACACTTGTTTCTTTCTTATTAAGTTGAGATTATAAATTACTATATTGGCTGGGTGTGGTAACTCACCCTGTAGTCCCAGTACTTTGGGAAGCTGAGATTACAGAATTGCCCAAGCCTGGGTTTTGAGACCAGCTTGGGCAACTTGGTGAGACCTTGTCTCCACAGTAAATCTCAAAAATTAGCCAGGCTTGCTTGTGTGCATCTGTAGTTCTAGCTACTTTGATGGCTTAGGCACATGGGTTGCCTAAGCATAGCAGGTTGAGGTTGCAGTGCCCATGAATTTGCCACTGCACTCCAGCCTGGGTGACAGGAGTAAGACTCCAACTCAAAAAATAAATAAATAAATTACTATATCTTTTGTCCAAAAGATCTCAGCATGAATGTTTTGTTGTGCCTGTGTGCCTTGGGACCTGATCCCACTTTGTCCTAGCTACTTGAGACACTATGGAGGATGCATTCTTTCAGCCCAGAGATTGAGTCTGCAATAAGCTGTGATTATGCCACCACACCCTAGTATTGGTAAGAATGAGACCCACCAACTGAAAAATAATTGCATAATCTCAGGCTAAATCCATGTCATCTGAATCAGAATTTGCTTTTTTTTGTTTGTTTGTTTTGAGTTGGAGTCTCACTCTGTTGCCCAGACTGGAGTGTACTGGCATGCTCCCAGCCATTGTAGCCTTGAGTTACGGAACTCTGGAGATCCTTCAGCCTCAGTCATCTAAGTAGCTGGAACTACAGGTGCAAGCTACCACACCCGGCTAAAAAATTTGCACTTTAATAAGATATTCAATTCATTGATGTACACATTAAAATTTGATGAGGACCTTCCAACTCATTAGGAGTTTTCCATCTGAGCAGTATATATAACAAGTTCTGTGTGATGTGGACATAGCACTGAAAAATGTACATGCCTGTGTTGGTGTCCAAATTTATGCTGTATCACTCACAAAAATAGAGTGTCTACACTGGCTGAGTGGATTTTATTTCATACTTTTTTGGCATACTTAATGCATTAGAGAATATTTCTGTGTTACAAGTTATCTTAATGCATAATTATAGTTGTCATGTCAGCTGGACACTGTTCTCTTCACTTTTGCTTTACCAAGAGGTCATGGTGACTTGGTAAATATGTGTTATTGTTGTTTTCAGGGGCTATTGACATTCAAGGATGTGGCCATAGAGTTCTCTCCAGAGGAGTGGGAATGCCTGGACCCCCCTCAGCGAATATTGTACAGGAACGTGATGTTAGAGAACCACAGAAACCTGGTTTTTCTGGGTAAGGAAACTTTCAACACACAATCCCTCTTTCATACTAAGGATTCCATATTCTTTCTTTGTAGAAAGTTTTCTGGAAATTTCTGCTTTGCATGAATGAGTTTCAGATTCCTGCTATCAGAGAAAAGTTGGTGATTTGTTAACATAGAAAAGGAAAAATTAAAGATGCTTCATTTTGACATGCAGCATTCTCTATTTTGAATTGACCGGTGTCCTTCTATCTATATTATTGGTAAATTCAGAAATTTAGTGGTATAGAATATCACTGCCCACATCTCATTCTAATAGCTGCCATAAGATTTTGATTCAATAGCACTGAACTAAGAACTCACAAACTTAAGGCCAGGCATGGTGGCTCAACGTTGTAATGCCATTACTTTGGGAGACTGAGTTGAGAGGGTTGCCTGAGCCCATTGTTCAAGAACAGCCTAAGCAACTTGGCAAGATCCCATCTCTACAATAAATCAAAAAACTAGCTGGGTGTGATCACATGCACTAGTTCCAGCTACTTGAAAGGCTGAGAAGGAAGAATCACCTGAGCCCAGCAGGTCAATGCTGGGCTGACTGTGAGCTTTTCACTGCACTCCAGCAGTGACGGAGTGGGTGATGGAGTGAGACTCCAACTCAAAATTTAAAAAGGAACCCACAAATTTAAAATTCTATGTAATGGTTCTAAATGTTTTATTGGGAAACAGTATTGTGGGATTAATTTTCTAGAATCTTGTATGATGTGTTCTCTGCTGATCACAATACTAGGTTTGTAATTGAAGAACCCCAGCAAGAGTCATGTTACTTTTTTCTAATTAAACAGGACTTGCTATCTCTAAGCCAGACCTGATCAAGTGTCTGGAGCAAAGAAAAGAGCCCTGGGATGTGAAGAGACACAGTACATTAGCCAAACCTCCAGGTAGGTGGCAGTGAATGAAGCAGATGACACAAGTCATGGAGTGTGAGCTTGAAATGTGGTTTGCAAAGGTGTTCTGTTCCAATGGAAATGGTTTCTGAGAAGCCTAGGATTCTTCCTCTTGCTGTCACAAAGGAACATCTGTTATTCTATGTTCTGAAATTCTCCAGAAACTCTGCTTCTTCTTCAATAATCTTTCAAGTTTATAGAGGAAACCAAAGTCCACTTAATGGTTTGTTGGGGACTGTATGACCTGACTACCTTTCTGCTCCTTTTGAAGATGTGTAAATATCTGCTTATTTATTTGGAAATCCATGTCAAAATATTTTTGTTTTCTTTTTGCATCATGGTTGGAAGTTTGTGAGAGTAGTGATTTTGTTAATTGCTTGAGACATTTTAAGAACTCTCCAGACAAATGTTACATGTTTTCTACTGTATAATTTTCTATCCTAGAGAGATTTCCAATGATTTTATTTAAATTCATACTCCATAGTTCTGCCAGAACACAAACTATTTCTCTTATTAAAAGAAATCCTAGCCAGGCTCGGTGGCTCAGCCTGTAAGCCCGTGCTTTGGTAGGCTGAGGTGAGTGGATTACCTGAGCCCGCAGGTTCGAGACCCACCTGGGCAACCTGGCAAGACCTCATCTCTACAATAAATCAAAAAATCAGCCAGGCATGGTAGTGCATACCTGTAATTCCAGTTACTCGGAAGGTTGAGGCTGTGGTGACCAGGAGCAGCCACTGCACTCCAGTCTGGGCGACAGAGTGAGACTCTATCTCAAAAAAATAAAAAGAAATCCTGTTATTTTACTTTAATTTTACTTTTTTTTTTTTTTTTTGAGTTGGTCTCACTCTGTTGCCCAGACTGGAGTGCAGTGGCATGCTTCTGGCCACCACAGCCTCAACCTGCTGGGCTCCGGCAAGTCTTCCACCTCAGCCTTCCAAGTAGCTGGAACCACAGGTGCGTGCTACCATGCCTGGCTATTTTTTTTGATTTATTGTAGAGATGAGGTCTCGCCAAGTTACCCAGACAGGTCTCGAACCGGGCTCAGGCAATCCACTCACCTCAGCCTCCCAAAGTGTGGGATTACAGGCTGAGCCACCACGCCTGGCTTAATTTTACTTTTTTAGTATGATCTGAGAGATTGATAATTTTTCTACATATCCAAATGTTCAAGTATACTATATCGCGTATAGGATTGGTAAACATATATTAAACTCCCACATGTTACCTTGTGTCTTAATAACTGTTATTTTATACTTTTCTTTAGCATGAGGCTCAGGACTAGCTTACATGTATGCATATATACAAACACACATGTATCTGTGTTTATGTATGTGTGATTAACATCTGATTTTCTATACATAAAAGTATATAACCATATGTTGTGAATAATGTAATTTGATATGCCTATATATTGTGAAATGATTACATGTATGTTAATGAAACTATCAATCCCCTTACATAGTTGCAAATTTTATATTTTGTAAGGAGAACACATAATATCTTGTATTTTTCAAATTTTCTAAGCATACAATACATCATTATTTTTATTTTTTATTTTTTGAGTTGGAGTCTCACTCTGTCACACGGACTGGAGTGCAGTGGCCACTCCCAGCCACTGCAGCCTCGACCTGCTGGGCTCC